CTCTCTCTCTCTCTCTCTCTCTCTCTCTCTCTCTCTCTCTCTCTCTCTCTCTCTCTCTCTCTCTCAATCATCATCTAATCGTTCAATTACCTAAAAATATATTGACTTCTAATTCCTATGAATTAGAAGTTCTAATATTTATCGTACGCAATTAAGGTTCTCTATCCAGAAGAATTATTTCTGGATCTTTTATACAACATTTTTTGAGCATTAATATATCGAGAACAATAGTAAACGTCGCTCATAACGCGACGTTATCGTAGGTGTTTTAACACTTAAAATTGTCTTTTAATTTTGTGCATTAGCGTGGCTTTGTACAATACACCGGCTAATTATTCGGAACGTTCCAACAGGTTGGGAATCCCTGATGCCCATCGACGTGATATATTTCCACGGAATGTGTTGTATCATCTCAATGATTAATTGCCCCAGTACCTGTAGTATCTGCGATCGATCGTTCATTGCGATAAATATTGATACTGCGATCGTAAATCATCGTTAGTGGTTAAGTTCGACGCGTTTTAACAATCGTTAAGTGAGCGGGTATCTGACAGCTGAATGTTAATATTCAATTAAAATATCATTCACAGGTCATTTGAGTGTATTGCTGTAGCGTCTCGCAAAATAACGTTACCGTGAATTCTCGTCTCTGACGTAAGTCAGGATTTCGCGAGGATTTCGCCGGGCACGAATGTGTATCAATGACTTTAACTTTTCGCGTTCTTATCATTATACGAAAGATATCGGAAATCTGCAAATTCGCGAATTTTTCGAGATACTACGTTTTTCCGAAGTAACTCTTTGTTTCTGACAGGAATTGTGTTATATCAATATCAATCGATTGAGAGTAAACAAACTCTTGAAAGGAGAGGCTAACGGAACTTTATTCATCGTTTAATTTCACGCGGATTTTACGTCGACAGAGAGCTCAATCTTTTTGTACACGTACGGAGACCAGAAAAATTTTTAATCGTATTAATAGCTATGCTTTAAAAGCAGTTGCCAATAAAAGATCATAAATGATAAGCGACTGTTAATTAAAAATAGTGTCTAATCTTTTAATTAGTTAACTGTGTGCGCCAATATTAAAAATTCTAAAAATTCGTGAATTCACTGAAAAGTTGCGCTTTCGGATTCCGTAGAATATAACGTTACGAAAGCAAAGGAGAACCGCGCATTAAAAAATATTGAGAACCACGAGAAGGCTGGTGTAACAGGTGCGTGTTCGCAATTTCGTTAAACATTTACGTTTACGTGAATTATGCAATATATAAATATTCCGTGAAATCTCCCGCGACCAAACCTGTGCGGGAAATAAGCGCGCGCCAGCAGTTGGCTTCCAAGGTAATCCCGTTGTTTTGCGACGTTTTAATCGGTCACATGCTTGCTTTCAATTGATAAGTAAGCGAGTAGATAAAACCAACCAAGGTAAGTCCTTTTTTACACTATTTCCTCGGCAATTCGCGCCAATTCTCTATGCAAGACAATTCGTAATTGTTGTAAAAGGAAGACGGTTAAGAGTCTTTGTTTTAAATAACAATATTTACGGAAGAACGTCGAGGTAGATCTTCGTTGTTTCTTTTCTGTTTTCATCATTAACACGCTCGCTACCAGTGTCGGCAAAAATTTCTTTTCTATGTTCACATTATCGAACTGAGTCTGTTTTATCAATATGTAAAAAAAATGTAAGAAAGAAAAAAATACGAGATGATTTGTGAAGGAGAGTCTTCTAAATTAGCCGTATTAAGTATCTTCGCAAATGAGCTGGAGATCGCGAAGTCTTTGTCCAAGTAAGATCCTCGTGAAATTAAAGGACGAATAAAGTTTCGTTTGTCCACTCCAGCAAAAGTTCACTAAAGAAACTTCGTTCCGTTATCACTTCGTGCAGTGCCGTTTCTCTTAGCTCTCGTTTCGAAGCGGAATTACGCCTGTAACTAACCGGGAGCAACTTTTATATGACACACGCGACGTCGTCGCTCCTCTAATCTACAGATTATTGGACCGATTTGAAGCACGTGAATCTAATCGATCACTCTAATTAGGCGATATCTCATACCGCATACCCTTGCACATCTCGCCGTACAGACACGAGAAAATTAACGCGTGTCAAACGAAAGCACGTGCTCCGAATTTCGCCCATAAACAGCGATTAAGCCAGTCGCCTTGGAATCCGGCGCGTCGTGCAAACAACGTAATATATGGCTTTCAAAGAACTGATATTTTGCATAATAGTTGCGGAGGAAGCCGCGCGAAATTGTTGACGAATTAAACAATGGCATTATTCGCAAAGCTCCTCGACGCTCCCAACGTTCTCAAAGCACTTCTTCACTTATGAGCCGAGAACTTTGTCGCGCGAGGGATTGGCGTCCCAACGAGATTTTCCTACAGATTTGCGCGCCTGTGCGTGGCTGCGCGCTATTTAAAGCTTCGTCTACAATACATGGAGTAAGCTTAGTATATAAAAAGTAAAAATAAGAGTAAGAAATAAAATTAATTTATTTCATTTATATATACATCTGAATTCTAGTTCTCTTACATTGGAAGTTTACTTGACAGAAAGACTTTCGGCGTAAGGGGACTGGAGTATAGACGCGTAAGCGAAATAAATTGTTTTTATTTCTTATTCCTACTCTTACTTCTTACTGCAAGCTTATTCCATATATCGTAGGCGAAGCCCAAAAGTCGGCGAGATTTTCCAGCATACTCGCCTAAAACATTTACGAGCTTCGTTTGTCGCCGATCCGCAGGCATTCGACTCACGTCTTCTCCCGCGGCTGTACCTACATCGCTCGAGAATTAGAAAGACAAGGCATATCACGTATACATTCGATTTATGAATTGACGCATCGAATGCCGCGCGGCACCACCTCGTTTGCGCACGCAATAACAACGATGCGTTCGAGCCGCAGCGTTACCCAACGCGACATGCAAACGTCATCCGTCTCACGGGAGGGAGAGAGGGAGAGGGATTTTCCTAACGTGAAAGATACACAACCGAATGCGCATATATCACGCACACGCCTGTGCACACAGCTGGCGATTAATTCCGCAAATTATCAGTTTCATATCGATAACCTGTTAATTAGCACGCGTCTGTGTTATCGACGACCAACTTAGGAAACCTAACTCGCAAAATTGACAAGAGCGTCAGGAAACTGATAACTTTTGTAAAACAACAAATTTTTATTTTTATTTTATTATGGAATGGAATTTGTTTATTGAATAGACACAAGAAAATTGTAGTAAAATTTGTAGTTCTACGAAAGTTTTATAGCTCTCTTCTAAAATTAAAATTTCGTGAAATGAATTAGTTACTGAGTTATAATTTAGCCAATGTTATTCACATCAACACGATTGTGACTGACATAATGAGAGAAAAAATAGTCGGCTTAATTAAAATTATAACTATTTTTGGCTCCAACCGTCTCTGATTCTTCTAACATAAAAATGGTAATAGTAATATGCATATAACATTATCATCACTAATATAATATTCAATAATATTCAATAATAGTAATAGAATTTAATGAAAGAAAAATAGTTTCTTTGACCATAATTTATAATAATTATTTCTCTATGTGATTATAATTACAAATAGCAGATGTTTTTTTTCAATGTTCACAATGCACTGACACACAATCGACCATTCGTGTGAAATACGTATGGAAATCGCGAATTTTAATGGGAAAACGTGAAAGGAATCCCCGAGATATTCCGCGGAATGTGCGTCATTCTCAAAAAGCCACGTCGAGCGAAACAGTAATTGTAATAATCTTAACGATCACGGTATCTTCGTTGCCACGACATATTGCATGTGCTTTCTTATAAGCATTCGCTTATCGTTCGTACGCGAAAATACATACAATGATCACGCGAGCTGATTCTCGTTAACATTTTCCACGTGTAACGACTTATTGGTGCGTATTGTTTCCACAAGAAACGCGCTAGTTTACCGATGAGACACGCTTGTTCCGCATACACTTCGTGATTTTTTTTTTTGCTATGATACGAGAATATCTAATGTATCCCATTAATAGCATAAATGTCTAAAATTTCTCGTTTTGGAGAGATATCCTAAAGATATCTGAAACAAATAAGATCCCATATAGCACAAATCTCTAAAAGACTTCTTATAAAATTCCAAAAGAGTTTCCAAATCTTCCAGAATACTTTTAGAATTCTTTAAGAAGTCTTTTAGAGATTTGTGCTATATGGGATATCTTTCAAATGTCTCTAAGATGTCTCTCAAACATTTATGCTGCATGGGATTAAATAGTACACATTAGTTTGTACAATCTCTTTTTTGGTTTTTCAATTTTCTTTTTTAAAAAAACTTTGATTTACAGATAATATAGTTCTTCTGTATTTCTTGATTCAAATTACTATAATGATGCCGTTTAGCGTCAGTGATTTTGACAGATTTACAACCGTATGGTTAATATAACGACGCGGTCGAATGTGTATAATTTTACGAAAACTGCACGTTAGCCAATCGCCCATTGATCGTGCAAAACATTAATAACTTTTCCTTAAATAGAATAACGAGGAAAACCAGAAAAACGAGGAAAATAGAAATAGATTGCAATTTTGTTGCTTACACACGAATATCAAGGTGTTAAAATACGAATATAATGATACTACGCTGTAAAGTCCTCAGCAGCGTTATTGTGTACTCTACGTTAAGAGCGCGCGTATTAAGGTGACAAATAATAATCGCGATACTCGGCCACACGGGAATTCTTAATGCCCTCTTAATACTCGCGTAAAAGAAGCGCGTTTGTTTACGCACGTTTTGTCAAATCACCGCACCGAATAAGATTGCATCCTTGATTGCTCTAAATGCTCAACAGCATAGATAATGACATTCATTGCGTGTGTCTTCATAAACCGACAAAGAATAAACGATAAGGCCGAATAAGCGAAAGTTTCATGCGCATCGTAGACATGGTATTGACAATTTATCGATCAATGAAACGCAATATAATAGACCGATTAAGTAACAAAGACCACAAAAGTCAACCATTTATTTCACATTTTGCATCAAGTTATAAGATTATCAGTGAATTGTCAATGAAAATATCTATTTCTAAATTAATAAAATAAATAAAGACAAAAATTTATAATAAAATTATATATATACTATATAATTTACTATATACATTATATATATATATATATATATATATATATATATATATATATATATATATATATATATATATAATGAAATTATATATATATACATATATATAAATTTGACTTGCACTTATAGTTACGAGATGATTTTTATAATATTTGTTATCAATCTGATACTTTCAAAAAGCTTTTTCACTATGTAATAAAGTTGACAAGACAGTAATCTCTGCTAAACGATTTCAATCAGGACTATTTTTCTTAGATATTTTTCTCACCTGGAAGTAGTCGGTTGATCCGTTGTGTCTCGAAGAAAACAGTAGAAAATAACGTTGCTTCGTTATTCGACGTACTTCGTTTATCCACGGCACGGAGGGCAATGACATGTGAGAGGCCCTCGTATTACTCGTGAGTTTCACCGAATTCCTTCAAACGGGACATAGATTTTCCTTTTAGAAACGAAACCTGTCTTCACAGTGCGAGATTATGTCAGCCACTGGGCGTAAATGTTTGTTGACATTTCGTTTCATGTATTATAAGTTTTGATTGTGTACTATATAGATCTGTCGTCCTTGATACTTGTTGTTCGTCTGTATTCACAAGATGATGTCACAGCATAAAGGATCACATTTCTTTTTTTCATTATTTTATGAAACAAAATTCCGAAGCATTTCGAGAATTACTTGTTGATTGTTCTTGCTTCTTTTCTTTTTAGCATTACAAGTTAAAAATCATTCTATCGTATTATTATCCGCGACAATTACAATAGATTTATATATTTATCAATAGTTTTTATTGATTTCTCTTCTTGAATTACTCAACGAGACTCGTTAAAATATTCATTAGAGAATTTATAATCAAAGGAACAAGGTCTTGTCAATCCGCACGTATTTTTTCTCTACAAGTTTTGAGAATTTCTCGAAAAAGAATTGCGCATTTTCTTTCTTACTATATTCACTGTCCTTCTCCTTTTCCGTTCCCAAGAGTCGTTTCTTTCCTCATTACGACAGATGAACTCCTACGGACTCGATAGACGTAAAGTCGGAATTGTAAAATGTAGATTCGCTGGTACGCAATTTCGTAGAAATGCCAGCGGGGAATTAGATAATTGACGACCCGACCCCTGAAAGTTATTATTAATACATACTTTCAACCGCGACACGAAAGCCACCTTTCGCTAATTATGCCACAGGATAAAGGTAGACTTTCCTTATAGCGACTGAGTAACTACGTCTTTTATAGAGGAAAATCGACGTCATAGATCGACGGGGAAATATCACGCGTAATACATATGAAATACCTGTGAAGTAAACATTTCCCACAATAACTTGTCGGAATATGGAACACGACTATTAGCGCGAAAGTGAATTTAAGTTCGATCGATATAGATCAAACGTTAATGATTCGTCGACTATTCGATTAATTGCACGCAAATACATTTTTAATATGTTCGTCAAACCGTCGACGAACTATTGTATTCTTCGATAATCCCTAACAACGAAGAAGAAGATTTTATGGGAAAATATAACATATATTTTTAAATGACTATCTATGTTACAATATACAAATAGCTTATTAATATTTCGCGTCGCTTTGTATTACATAATTATCATTGTAATATCAGACCTGTTGGCGCACCAATTTTGATTTAATGTCTTTGAACCGCTGTTCATTGGTTTCGTTATATTGCTGTTCGCTATTGCTCATAATTCAAGAATGAGCTAATGCGCATCTCTCGTGCATGTATGTGCTCTTATGCCACGGCAAAATTACATCGCAATCATCGAGCACAATTGCATTCCGAGTCTCATTTTCCCCGACGCATAGTATATTTTTAACAATAATACAGTGAACGTTTATATACACGTGCGCGTTACTAATTCTTACATATTTCACCCTGTACAATTCAAAATCTCTGCGTGATGTAAAGTGAATAAAAAATCCTTCGAAGCCTTATTTACAAGTTTTCGAGGTTTTGTTTAATTATAAGGACTTCTGGAAATAGCCTATACCAATCGGGAGGCTAGTAATAATACTAATTTTGTAGAATATTGTCGCGTTACAGGAATCATCGCGCCTCGAGCGATGTATCACGTGAAATCCTCTTCGAAACGATAATTACAAAGAGAGAATGATACGCGGAATCTCAGTTTATAACGTAGTCCAGCAGAATCCTTTGTATGTATGTAAAACTTATAGAACGGACGTTTCGAACGGAGAGAGGAGTCTCCTTTTGGTACATAGAATCCACGACGGAATAAATAGCCGTGGTGCCTCGTAAGGCACTCTTAAGAGATCGTGCAGGTATTCTGTGATGAGATGTCCTCCTTAACATTGAGATTATTATAGCTTCCGTGGAACGCCGACTCCTCGACAGTCAAGGATGATTCATGCGTGCGTTCCTCTTCTAACGGAGCTGTATTGGAAGTATGACTGATCGACGAATGTCTTGAGCGAGAGAGAGTTCCGCGCTGATTGCTGCCAGCCGATGGAGCCGGACTCGGCGAAGGGCTCTCCGGTACTTGTTCCTGTTCCTGTTGCTGCTTTGATATTATCAGTCTATTCAACAGCGATATTTGATATTGTATGTTGGACATGAATGGACGGTATCCTAAACTGTAATTGAAACATACGATCAGTATCATCTTCGGAAAATGGAAGCAATTATTGTAATTAATATAAACTATTACGATATATACCATTCTGAATGAGACCACTTAGTCAACGTGAGTAATCCGTCTCTCAAATTGATTACAGAATCGATAGTCTGCATCGGTGCGTGTGCTGTTCTCACTGTTCTAGCCATGGCTGCCCCATCGCGAAGAACGGTTGCTACTACAGCAGCCCATCCTAGACAGCAACCTTCGAGAAAGAGTTGCAGCAAATACCTGCAACGATTTAGAATATATAAGAAACAGTCGTAATATTAGACCTAGTAGGTTTTTCATACTTTTTATAACGACACATAAGATATGTGCATATATTAGTACCTGAGCTGTACTTCGGCTCGACCGATTGGTGCAGAGGTTAACGAAGTTGACTGGATGTCCGTGGGTCCTACTGATTCCGGTGAAACCCAACATACAGAGCCAACGATAGACTCTGCATCGTCCCTCCAAATCGTGCTGGTATCGCTAAGAACACTGTTGGCATCTGGAATTTTATAATTGGGCAAAACATGAATATAATGTTTACATATTTGAAAATCTATTATTTATAGAGATACAGAAACTCGCGACTTCGCAGGAAAATTCGTCTAAGTGGAAATCAATGTACACTCTTCTTCTAAATGAAAGTTATGACTTACCATGTATTAGATTCGGTGTCAACTTAGCTTCTGCGGTCGGAAATTGCGTTTCTAAACTGGCGACGGGTGAGACCAGCGTTGTATACGGTGGCCTACCACTTGGAAGACTGGTATATCCACTGTCGGGTAGATCAACATTTAAATTTGGCGACAACGTTTCGTCATCAGACATCACAGAGTGTAAAGATGTGAGACTGGATCTACGAAATTTTTGTAGAGTCGGTAACGAAAGAGTCGGATATGGAAATACGAAATCCTCGTGGACCGCCTTCAAAGTCCCCACGTAGTCGTCGACTTTCGCTGCTCTGTCACGTTCTCGGGCGAACCAAGTGACTAAATGAAAGTCAAGACGAGCCGCGAACCTACCCAAATCGGTCAAGCGGCGAGCTGAAAGAAGACGTCGAGCGTGACGTTGCAAGATGACATCGATGAAGAACTCCTCTGCTGATCCTTCCCTGGGAAATAAAAAAATTTGCCATATTTAATATATTGACATTACTTTAAGTAGATTTTTGAAATGTAAAGTAGTTTAAGAAAGCGTAATAATTACTTATTCTCAGTTTTTTCAGTTTTCACCGTCGGCACCGATTTCTTCCGTCTCATAACGACATTCCGGGTTTTCTCGAGCATGGAGGACGGCGCGATATCTTTTTCGGATTGCACTTTGGGTGTAACTGTAGTACTGTAACTGCGGCTTCTTGAGACTTGCATAGTGCCCAAGACCAAGGATAGATCGTCTTCGTGCGGAGAAAGCGGAGGTGTCTGCGGAGGGCCACCCAGTTTCGCACTGCCGCTCCACGATGTACGCGGTGACTCCACGTCGTTCGGATCTGACGACCCCGAGATATAGATTTTTAAAAATTATACACACACTTTACTCATTGTTATAAGTGTAAATTTAAGTATTTACCGATCGCTCTGAGGAATCTCACGAGGTCCCTCGATAGTTCCCATCTACCTTGCTCCAACGCGGCGTCCAACAACAATGTAGCGTGTTGTCTGCTGACTGAAGATGGTTCCAAATTTTGCAGGATAATCAAGTAACTAGCGGCGGTGTCGAGCTGTTGACGTTGCAAGCAATCTTGCAACAGTTTCTTCGGAGGACCGGCGACGGAGAATAGATACGGCCAAAGAGCAATCTCGGTTTTCCGGGCGCATTGTACGACAGCTCTCGCCCAAACGCCGGGAAATTCGCGGATAAATTCTACGACGGACGGCAACTGAGCATCCGGAATGGGATCCTTACTCGTCGCCTCTTCCTCCAGGACTTCATGCAGTAGCAGCTCCAACGAATGCGGGAAATACGGCAGTGCGGAACACGAGCGCGCTATTTCCCATGCGTGGTAACCTAAGTTTCGACGTATTAATTGGCGCAGAATTTGATGCAGATATACTTGGCTCTGAAATATAAAAATATCATTTTTGAACGACGACGTCAAAGAAATAACAAGAATAGTAAACTTAAAAGTTTCGAAAACTAACATTTACCCAAAATTACTTTCGCGAGTTTTGTTGTAAAGAAAATATTTATATAAGATTAGGAAATTCCTAAGATATAAAACAGTAAAAATATAAGAGAAAGAAATGAAAAAGAGTTATATTACATTTTTACTGTTTTATATCTTAGAAATTTCCTAATCTTATATAAATATTTCCTTTACAACAAAACTCGTGAAAGTAATTTTGAGTAAATGTTACTTTTCGAAACTTTTAAATTGGAACATTTTTAAGATATAATAAGAATAAAAACAATACCGTGAGTTCCAACAGATTGAAGGGCAGTGAAAAGGGCGAGTTAGTATCCGACGTGAATAACACAGTGTCGTTTTCAGCTCCAAGTAGAATTGCGTCTTCGAAGAGTATCGCTAGCGGATAAATCCGTAAGTGAAAAGGCAGCATTATGCGCTTGCTCATGAAGGCGTGCGCCTTCTCTTGATGATTACGTGGTACCCAAAGCGGTAACCAGACTCGCATGCCGTGAGCTCCGCAAAACAGCCACAAAGCCTCTGTCAGATGCGGCTTGTCTCTTCTAGAGCGCGACGGAACCCAAACATTCTCGACGTAGGATGCTAATACTGTCGGTGCGCTGCACGTGAACGCAACGTCTGAACTATCCGTAGAATGTTCCCGTTGAACCATGAGAAGACGACCGGATACATTTAATAAGAGACTCTCAGGATGAGGGTGACTGCCGGCGGTCTCCGCGCGAATCGTAGTCAATGTGGCGCTTACCACGCAAGCAGGATGTACACACAGTCCGCTGATATCCACAGTCTGTATTCTCGTTAACTCGATGCCTCCAGCTTCTAAAATAATAGACAACGCACGATTCTTTTATTTCTTTAACAACTACTTGCTGCTTTTGCTGTTATCAGCGCAATAATACGAAAGCGATACGGGAAGTTTTTCAAAAATTTCAGTTTTGTTAAAAAAAAAAAAGTTTAATTTGTTTCTGATTTAAAAACAATTTCACACGGAAAGCCTCCACTTACCAACATCTTTTTGCATCACCATATCGTAGATACTGATCTGTGCATTAGCACAAAACGTCAATAGACTGTCCTTCATAGTATTAAGTAGTAACACCTGCGATGGCATTCTAATACTTTTGACGTAGCTGTTATCCAGACGCGTATCTCGTGGATAAATTCTGATCTCGTCCTTATCGTCCAGGATGGAATAACTACTAGCTATCAGATATCCTTTGTGCCATAGTAATCCACCAGTCACTATGAAATCTCGCTCTTGCGTCTCATTGCCGAATAACTTCCATTTTCTTGAGGGTAGAGAATAATGCGCTAATCCGGTTCGACCTGCAACCGCGAGGCTCAAGCCTTCGCTATCTATTGCAGTATACTGTCACAAAAAACATACAAATATATAATACAACATATATTAGAAAAGTAAAACTTAAGACAGATTCCTTCATTAATATTTTATACGCAATTGTCAACATTACTGTATCAAACAGCAATAAAATGTATAACAGCAAACTGATAAAATTAAATTTTACGAAGTTCACTAAAAATGTATATTACATACTAAACATCTGTTTTCTCAAACATACAATTATCAATAATGTAAATTAAACTGCGATGATAAACACTTACTCGAATCGGCCAATTGGAACCGCTATATGTAGTTGGAATAGGTACAACAAGCCACTGTTTGCAACCAGCGAGTGTCTGAAGCATGCTGTCGTTAGGCATTTCAGTGGCAAGATGAAAGCCCGAAGCTGACGAGGATATCCCGGCGCCTAAGTTCAGATACAGTCTATCCTCGCCTTGAAGATACAGATGTCCGTGATGCCCCATGCAGGGATTGATCGTCAGGGGACTTTTAGCGAAATCTAATTGAATGAGAGAGCGACTTCCATTGGTATAAGTTTCGTTCCCATTCTCTTCGGTAACAGAAGGTCCTGGAGATTCTCGCAGCATCCATAACTGATAACCCTCTGCCGACCATTCCATCGTATGAATGTGCAGAGGATTGTCATGTGTCAGATCCACTCTTAGGCCGTAATCCCACTTTAAGCTACAGAGTAACAAAGCACCAAAAGTACTCCACAACGCCAGGCCGCCGCCTTCCCAAGCTAAAGCAATAGCACAACTGTCAGGCGTCCATCTAAGACACCTGACACTACCTGGTCGGCCTGGGTAATCTTTGGAGGACAGGCTCAATGTATGTGACATCTCTAAACCTCCTGTAGTTTCATCGACATAATAAACAACACCTTCAGAGCTGCAAGTGCGAAGATATACAAGTTATATCAATGTATTGTAAAAGTACAGTTACATTTCATAATAAATTTATGCTATATTTTATTATCATACTAAAGATTTATGAAAATAAATACTCCAATAATTTCTATAATTTTGTAATTAAAATATAAATTATATAAAATTGTACCTCCTTATAACTCAAACTTTATAAGCTTATTTTAAGTTACATCTACAAATATGCAAACAACACTGTATATCACACTTACTTTTCCCTACCAATGGCAATTAGTCGATATTTATGATTAACAGCTGCGCAAGTTGCGTCATCCAAATCTCGAGCCCAAATTCCTTGCACTTGATTAGGATCAAATTTCAGGGATTGAGCAGTAAGAAACGCAGCTCTGCCGTCACTAAGCACAATAGCAAAACCTCCAACAAGAGGCGAATATTCAATATCAGTGACATAAATATTGTTTTCTGTGAGTGGCACAGCTACAGTAGACATTTGTTGATCAATACTGAACGGTATACGTCTCAAATCTAAGGAATAGTCACGATTCATATTGCCATCCCATTTGTAGCGTACTACATGGCTAGTTTTGGTCGCTATCATAAGTTCATCTCGTATACAAACTAAAGAACTAATACCACCATCAATCCAAGCTGACTTTTCCTAATAACAATAATTTAATTAGTTTTATAAAACTTTGGCAACATCTTTTCTCTTCTTTTACTGGTTTTTTTAAAACTCTCCTAAATGTATACAATAGAAAGAGAGAATAATACATAAATTATTACAATAACACTTACAAAATTTAAGACAAGACATGGAATGACTTCTTTGATAAACAATTCTGCACTATCTCGTTTTAAACTGGTAACTGGTGAGTCTCGTTGTTCATAGAGTCCTCGGCCTTCTGGATTGCTGTCTGAGAGTCGGTAGAACAACAAATAGCTATCTGATGTCGCAACAACCAACATACTAGAATCTGGCCTCCATTGTATCAAAACATTCCAACCATATTTTTGTAAGGAGACTTCAGATCGTCTGCTGAATACTACTGGTACACAAGGCTACAACATAAATTTCCTCATAAACAAGTGCATACACAAAACAATTAACAGAGAATTCCAAAATTACAACATAAATAGTAAAAAATATGCCTTTGAACCTAAATTACGTACTTTGCAGTACCAGATGGTGAGAGAATCCGTGGTGAGAACGGCAAAGAGAATTTTGTCTCTGTTGCACACTACGGCATTTATTTTATTCGGCTCACTAGCGTTTAAGACCCGTGGCCATCCTACGGGGAAAAACATGATTCCCAAGAGAATATCTATCCCTCTCGCCTTCAAATATCTATCATGCTTCGCCTACGGTCTCCCTGATGTAAATTTAACAGGTAAACAGTTCCTAACCTCCACATAGCGTAATTAAATCGGTTCAGTGATGACTGAAGCGAGGTGTGTCAAAAATGCACGTTGCACACGCAGTGTTGTCAAAATCTACAATTCGCTATCTGATAGGCGGACATCAAATTCTTCATGAAGAGTTCACATTGTTACTCCAATGACCAATGGGAGAATTTACTTTCTTGGGACTATAGTTCCTCGACATTTTGTTCCTAGAACACGAGCTTTCCTATTGGATGTCGGGCATCGGACGTCAAACGCAATGTAAACCTTCCATTACGTCTGTAGGGTTGAAGGACGCAACCCTTTTGTTTATGACCCACGCTGAAAGTTATTTTTGCTCACATCATAGGTATAAAAACGAGAAACACTTTATTTGTACTCTTAATAAGTTACAATTGAATTTCTACAATATGAAAACAATATACAGTTTTGTCTTTATAGCAGTTATTGGTAAGGATCAAGTTTCCCATATAATTATCCTGTCAAAATCTAAAGCTTTGTTTTTATACACACTCTGCGTTTCTACTTTTATTGTGTCATTATATTATCTATAATTGTTACTTTTTTATCCATAAAAATTGATCTTTAGTTTATCACATTGTTTTAGTACATAACAATATAAATGTTTACAGGAACCCTCACATTAGCTGAAAGTGGAATACGCTTACAAGGCTCGCAGCAAAATTACCAATCAGGACATCAGAGAGGCTTCTATGATAATACACAAGCCAAATATTACAAGGCAAATCCGAAATTAGTCGAAACAACAGCATCTGGGAAGCTGAATCTACCTCTGAGCCAGAAAATGAATGTTTCAGCGTGGGGAATAATTGCAATAGTTTTAGGTGTAATTATATTCAGTACAATAACATACTATGTGTTCATATTATATCCATACATATGTAAGAAAGAGCAATCCTATGATACTATGGAGTTAACAGATGTTAATTCAGTGTGCACTGTTAGTGATACTCCTAACATGCCATTGTATAATCCAAACAACATAGCAGGCTATGTATCAGTAATTCGTTAAAACAGAGGAGGATAATTGTATGTTTATTTTAGAATTACGTGAACGATACATTCGCTTAAGATATTGATATTTTTATACAAACTTAATGACTATTTCAAAATATTTGAATGGAAAAATATTAGATGGTGAGATTATTAGCATTTTTTATATTTTTTTTTACACACAGTATATAATATAGGGTAAATTATAGATTTTTATAAACTTTACAAGCATTTACAGCAACTGGTATAGAAATAATTTTTTTTATTGCAATTTATATATCATTATTACGCGATAGGAGAGATTGTAATTGTATTAGAAAATTATTTCAAACACATTACAGCTCACACGCGAGATATCTCATTTATACACTTTCTTATAATTACATATTGATGATGAATACTGAACAAACGAGTGTTAGAGTGCAGAAAAAGATGATATTTCTGCATTGAAAGGAGTTTTAATACATTTGTGTATGCAAACTGTGAAAACGAAATGCCGTACGCAATGTATTAAAAACAATGTTAATTCTATTTAAAACATTCGTATATGGGGGCATGTGATTATTTATACAATATACATTAATCTGGAAGACTCTACATAAACGATACATTTGATTAATTGAATGACAATAAGCTTAATGTTATGGAGCGCTAACACACATTAGAACGATAGACTGATTCTCGTTATTTCTGAATTTGGTCCCGTTACAGGGAGAACCAAGTAGTTCTGCAGAGTGTACACCAGTGAATTCTCTTAAAGCTATTAGAATATATATTAAAATCGCAATACTCATAAAGAAAAGACTTGTAAAAACATATACGTATAAATGTATGACATATATTTATTACAAATATGAAATATATATATATATGACTTTACACATAAACTTTATCTTAAGTAACTTCTTTTCCTAATAAATGGACTAATAAATGCGTTATGATATCGGAACACGTTCTCCAAATTATAATTTTTAAACATATAAATAACAACTGACGTGACAATATACAAATTATACATTTACGTAAAAAATTTACCATTAATTTTTGTGAAGTAACAAAATAAAATTGTATAAAGTTGGCTTTAATGGAAGAATCACTTAAATATTTAATTTCATATATGAAATTGGATAACTGCACCTGAGAACTGCTACTTCGACATATAGGTCAGCAAATCACTATATTGACATACTGATATTAAGTCTTCCTATAGATCACCGAAAATAAGAGACGATTGTTTCTTACTATTTAGTCACACAAGTTTTAGGTATAAACATTCGAATACAAATAAATTTCGAGGCAATAAAATTTAACGGCCTTAATATCAGTTCTGCCGAAAAAGATCTATATCTTGTGTAGCGAATGTTCGAAAAAAAAAGTTTTATACATTGACTCTCGGGAATTATAGCTCGTCTTTCTCGTCTAAATTAACGTCACTGAGATCGACATCCTCCTCCTGGGGAGGAACACCGTCCTTGCCGTCCCAAGGCTCCGTTTTCAGAACGCGGGGCAATGCTTCCTTCAAGGGCGCAGTGCCGCCTCTACCATAACTCAAATCTCTCAAGAATTCGTTTATACCGTCATACGAGAAACTTCCTTTCAGTAATGAATATTTCATCTTCTTGATATTGACTGCTGCCAACGCTGGATAACCGAAACCTCCGATCTCTAATGCCTCCTCGATATGTGGTTGAGCACCAGCTTCGGACCATACCCATCTGTGAAAAAAAGCAATTTTATAAAAATCGTCGATACAAAAATTGAACGTGATTGCTTGATACAGAATGTATATTATAGAAATTTGTTGCTTCTAGCATTAACTTTTTTTTAGAAAACCATTAGATTATAATTATAGTCAGTTATAATTTATTCAAAATAATTTTATAGCAACATATTAAACTTTCCACAACTTTGAAAACCAGAATCAATTTTACAACATACAGGTTTAGAAATTTAAAAACTGGCAACTTTCACTTACACATAATTACAACTGAACAGTGTGTCAGAGAAGAAGTTACTCATTAAAAGTACTACTCATTAAAAGAATTTTAGATTTTGTTCAACATTAATGATATATATAATAAATCTAATGTATACCCCCACATCTTCTTCTTGTACTTATCCCCGAGACTATTCAACGTCTTCAAATATGCGTTTCTGCAGTCAGACTGACAATCCAGGATGTCTGGTAGAACAGAGACCACACAGATCGGCTTGTCTTCACAAGCAGTCTTTAGACTCTGTTCGGATATAATTTGTGTTACTTCCGGTGCTGGAATATTTTCCGATAATTTTTCGAGCGCCCAGTTGACAATGTCGCCGCTAGTGCGGCCACCATCATACTCCTGCACCGAATCAGCGTCTTTTTTACCCGGAGCGAAGTACTTGATAGTGGGGTAGCCTTTAATATTATACCGACTAGCCTGCATAATATCACAATACAATATGTTAGAATAAGCTTATCAAAGTTCAATAAAACTATCGCTAGAACATGCATCTTACCTTCAATGTGTTCACAGTTGCATCCAAGGCACCTAGTTTTACTTTGCCTTTTAGTTCTGTAGCTGCTGTTGCCCATTCAGGTGCAAGATTTTTGCAGTGACCACACCAAGGAGCATAAAATTCGACCAGCCACATATCCTCTGAATTCAAAACCATTTTTTCAAAGTTCTCATCTGTCAACTCTATTACATCCTTGGAACTTTTACTCTGCAAATAAAATATATAATGGAGTTAATTCAACTTAATCATATGCAAGTTGATAAATTATTTTATTATCTATTTATGAAAAGTACTATCAATCTCTATTCCTCCTTAATTTTCAAAATTAGTTAATCAGATCATAACTTACCTTGGAATCACTTCCTGTTTTTTTACCGCCTAAAGTTCTCCTGACTTTCTGACTGGCAGCATTCAGCGCAGCGTCAACAATGCCAGCTGCAGTTCTCTGACCTGTGTAATCCTCTGGTTTGCTATCAAGTCCAAAGATCTTAATGGTTGGAAAACCTCGTACACCATATTTAGCTCCAAGAGACTTGTGCTCGTCAGCATTTACAGCACCGACTTTCACTACACCCTATTTAGACACAACAGAGTGAGTCAGTATGTATATAGAAACATGAGAAACAAAAAAAATACAATGTATCACCTTCAAAGCAATAGCAGCTTTGTCGTACTCTGGCATCAGCTGTTGGCAGTGTCCACACCATGGGGCATAAAATTCAACCACCCAGATATGATCGCTATTGAGCACTAAGTTATCAAAATTATTTGGCCTAAGATCAATGACGGCCGAATTGGATGCATACATGCAGTTCGCCCTGACGACTAACAAAAGAAAACCTACGGAAAGAAGAAGCAAAGATGAGCACAAATCAGAAATCACACGTTATGCACTTTGTACAGCTAACTAATGGAGAGAAAAAACGAATGATCTAAATTCAACAGGAGAGAGATAACACTTGTTGCAGTGTTGCCCACGCAGAATCCCAGTGATAATTTCGAAAGCGCAATATATCGGGTTGCAACGTCACTAAATGAACGAAGCCATCACGATCGCGGGCGGCCGGCGCCGAAGCAATCTCGCCAATGATTTAAACAGAAAGAGATCTCGCGCGCATCGATCACTCACCTAGAACACTCAACATCTTCCCGTGGAGTTCGCAGTCTGCCTGCAACATTGTCTACAGTCATTCACTTTTGCCGTTCGCGAAACGCACAAGCCGTTGACGCGCTACACTGCCTCCATATAAAGTTCTGACAATCTCCGGGTGCGCGGCGATGTCTCGTTATCGAGACGCATAGACTTTTCGTGGATCGTTCTGATTGGTGCGCCATGACGGCCTCCTACGAAATCAAGCGCGAGGGAGGCCAGGGGGAACTTTGAAATATCATTGATAAGAGGAGAAAGCGCGCGATCGCGCGAATTTTATTTCGCGATCGTGACTCTCGTGAATGGATTCCTAGACTGAGAATAAACAGACATATCTGGACTAAACGAGAGGACGCAAGCGTGAAATAAACATGCGTTACGTCATCAATTCGATCTATCTCGATGGACAAAATTTGCTTTTTAGGAAATCTATGAGCGCGCGATAGTCATCGCGATTCGTGGAATAACGGTGAATTCGATCGTTGGTGATTCGCATAAATTTCTCAATGTTTCTCTCCCAGCATCCGTATCCGCTCATGTTGTCACGTAGAAACGCGACACAGAGGCATTAACCTAAGTCATCGGAAAGAGAATGTACGACAAACAGCGACGATCAGTATAGGTTATGTTACATTAATACACGATAGAGGCGGAACAGTCTTTGTCATCGCCGTCGCGGTCGAGGCAGCAAGTTTGTCCTTTGTCCGCCGCGGAGCACGTTCCTCCTTACGGTGCATTACGGTATCATCTAAAATTAGTCGATTCTCCGCGCGGCGTGCGGAACGCGCTGTATTCGCGCGAGCGTGTCGGCGTATTCAGGGATTTTTCGTGTCCAAGAACTGGCCGTGTGTGCGCTGGTCGCCATTTTGCTTCCCCCGCACGTCTGACATGTCTTTCTAATGTTATTATCGACGAATGTTGAAATTTGTGGGTGAAACTCCGTTGTAACGTAACGAGCGGCTCTCTCACGGGGAAAAGATCGGGCCGAGTCTGATTGGTCGACGGGCATAGGTCACCGTCACCGTCGTCCCAGCAGCAATTTCCATTGTTCCAACCTCGGACCGAGCGAGACACGGGACCGATCTACACGGAGCCAGGCCCACCAGGTTCGCGTTTACGAGCCGTCGTCGAGGGCAAGTATGTCGTGAGATTCATCTGAGGAGCTCGTCTGGCTACGCAGCTGAGAACCACGTCGCGATATCACGCAAGGTGTCCCGTTGTCGATGTGACGAGCGAACCTAACCACAAACACGCACACCTTCGATCGGCGACGTGTATGCGCTCTTGTGTCAACAGTGGACAGATCTCGCTCAATGATATGGCTCTGGACCCGCGGATATCGATACGCAATCTACCAGTTACCGACGTTTCTACGCACCAACGCGCGACGCAGTTGCTCAAACATGTGTAGGGCATGTTCGGTGTAGACTGCTACTATGCGAGGCAAGGATTGTTTTTATCCTGATCTAGCCATGAACTAAGTTCACGCTTGCTGCTCGAACCAGGGAACCTCTCTGTTATCATTATACGTAATATATGTCGCGGCAGTTCAAGGTACTTGCAGCAATGTACAACTTTAGACAATGTATATGCTGATATGTACATACATACATATATATAATTAAAAGTATTACCTGTACTCTGTAAGTGTACACAAAGTTAATTGAACTGATGAGATCAACACGAGGGTTTTGTGAACACTATATGGATTTGTAGAGTTACAAGATCTTCGTTTAATTTGATTGCGATACAAGTTCCATGACTCGTTCAGCTATATGTATATATGATTAGAGAAGGAGAAATGCATTACACTAATAACACGTTACAGCATTAGTGAAGCATTGATATATATATATATATATATATAAATCAAATGTAACTAGTGTCGCACAATTGTCTCTTAATTTATTTAACTTTGTATACACATACACAGTGGCTGCATCGATCATATTAGTCGCGCGGATGATCTTTGACTTTTTTTTACTTGGAGAATGTAATAGAAAATATCTGTGATACAGTACAATAATATATATTTTTTTAATTTTCATACTCTCAGTATTATATGTTTAATCGTTGATCGATATCTAGCTTGTACTTGGCACATAGCGTGAACTAAGTTTGATCTAGATAGGAAGAGAAGGTTGACTTGGAGGGTTTGAGAATGCAGGTAGAACAGGTCTGGACAGAAGCAGCAATCAATGAAGGTCCTCATTTCCGAAAACTCAAACATGGACAATAAATTGAAGTTTTCGGAGCGTTTGAAGGCTTTGCTGAAAACCGAGGCTCATCAAGATGTAGATCCGTACATTTTTAGTGAACCAGAACCGTTCTCTACGGCGGCAGGGAGAAATGTCGCGGTACAGCAAATCCCGGCGACAAATTCGACAGTGATGCAAAGTTGTAAGAACAGCAAGTCGTCCAAGGGGAAATGCATGAAGCAGAAGACGAGGATAGCGCCGGTGGCGAACGCGGGCTACTGCACGACTGTCGGAGTCAATACCGTGACAGAAGCGGATGTCGGGGCCGAGGTCGGAGGCGAGAGTCTCGATCGCAAATTTTCAAGTTTGGTTCAGCATAAGCAGCGACACATCGAGAATCTGCAGAGACTAAGATCCAGGAGGCAAAATCGGGACCATACTTTGTTGTATTATCCTAAAGCTGGGGACGAGATATCCGACAGTGAGTCGAGCGGAGATGAGATGATGATCTATCAGCGTCACTGGTTCCCCGGTGAATTCCCCACGACGTTGAATCGCGCAGCTCGGCTGTCCCAGGTGCGCTCGCAACTACAACGACGGTTACTTCAGTTAGACACTGTCGGGCCGGATGCCGAGGTTCTCTTGCGGCATCGAGTCAAATGTTTATTAGAGGCCGCTTACAAAGATCCCGCTTCTACCGCGAGGGCTTTGAGCGATTCTCCGAGTACCAGCAAGGTGCTCGACGGACCACTATTAGTCGGTGGACCATGCGGAGCGGAAGGATGCCAGCAAACATCTCTGCCTTGTACCCGGCACTGTTCCCGCCACATCATGCTAAACGGAGATCAGCTTCTATTCGAGCATTGCACTGCCAAATTTAGTGACAACACACAATGTTGTATTCCTGTGTTTGACGTTGCACACGAATTACCTCTTTGCCCGGAACATGCCAGGAAAAGGGACAATTACCACCGTAAAGCCCAAGAATCCAAACCAAAGAAGGCCCGCAAAAAGCCAGCTTCACCCACCACCCCGCGGCCTAAGCCCAAATCCAGGCCGAAGAAGCGCAAGCGGCCGCCCTCGAGCAACAAAATAGAGACTAAGGCTTCTGCATTGATGCACGAGGAGAGTCATTACATGAGCCAAATAAACTGTAGTGAAAATCATACGAAGACATTAAATAATTTGAATGTTCCACAGGGAAGTTCAAATTCGTCTAACTTAAATCTAGGGTTGGGATTAGGCTCGCTCGGGCTGGGCGGCGGACTCAAAGTCGAGCTTGGAGATCACGAAGTATTCGCTTCTTTGGATTCCGCTGAGCATGACTTCGGCAATGTGCTCAACAACTTACCCGCGGATGCTTTTAACGACTTATTTATTGGTAATTGCAGCAATACTTATGTAATTCTCATACGCGTTATCCTGTAAATATCGAACATATTCTGTCAATATCGAGATTAGGATTGACTATATCTGTCTCACGGATTATCCCAGTGATAAAGGGTGTTTTTTATTTTTAACTTATAGAGGGTAGGAACGGCGAATACGAACCGTCGAGAGAGGAAGAGGAGGAATTGGAGCGAGCCCTGGAAGAGGTTGATAAAGACGTACGAAATTTGGAGAGGATAACGGGGCAAACGCATGGACTTTTAGAGCCGGCGTTGCTCGCTCAGCTTATGTCGGACATTGCCTCGTAGCCCCACCAATCTTAAAGTAATAATTTGGAGATGAGTTCGCGTGTGTTCCTCATAACGTAGAGACAAGTACTGTTCGTGTCTGTGCTGCTAAAAATGTAAGATTGTGTTATAGACTGTCATTATATAGCCTTGCAAATTCGAGATAATGGCAGGGATCGACATACAGAAAGTAAAAGGAAAAAAAAATGAATCAGTAGCAAAATTCTTATGAATTTAGTATAAACAGCATCGGATACAGTACCACGGGTAGATTTATGTGAGACGAGTAGCGACATAAAAAGCCGAAAATTCCATCCTTTTTGACAAATAACCACGGGCGTTTTCTCTGTCATCATCATAACACTTGCAATACATTTGTAGCTTATTTGCGGACATTCTGACTTGCACTCGAGAAATTCACTTAGAAAAATTGTTGTAGTCATAATAATACATGTGATGATTTTTAAGGATACGGGATGTACGACAAAAGGAGTAGAAGAAACGAACAATGTTACACAAGTGGTTCGGGCTAGGTTCCAATATACACGAGATAAAAGTACATAAATATGTACTTTTAATTTTTATACGCGACTTGTTTTTACTAAAACGAAGAAGAACAGGAATTATCTAAATTACGTTACTAATATAGCTCCCATATTTATTGAATTACACATAATGTCTAGCTAATTGCCGATTACTCGAATAATAGGTACAAGAGTATTTTGTATGACTGATTTGTAATGATTTTATCCGTTATCTCACTTCTACTATAGCGGTTGTAAAATAGAAATTCTGATTTATAAATATTTAGCTACCGATTAAAGTGCAGAATAACTCGGGCTTTGAGTAACGTAACATTCGCGAAAGATGATTTGTGGCGTTCACAATACAATTTTAAAGTACCTTTCTCTCATCATTGGACGAAATTGCCGTAGTCACATTATCCATTCGCAAGATTACTTTTACAATGAGTGACATTTGCGTTTCGAGAAGAAACGGATGATTCAATGAGGAGTATCTTACGCAGTATCATTTGTTACAAAAGAAAAAAAATGCACCATTCTAATAAAACACATTTTTCCACAATTCGATTATCATTGCAGAAAGAAGAAAAACCTTGTGCATAGAATATATTTATACAAACACACGACTGAATTTATAAGAAAGACATATAGATGTGTCTATGATACATACATACATACATTGCATACATACATACGTATGTGTATGTGTGTGTAGAAATAATTAATTTTTATCGTCTGATTGCTGCAATAACACAGCTAAAAATAATCACATATATATTATTAATGATACGTGCATAATGATCGATATTGTCAGTTTTGTCCATTCTGTATTATATTCATGTAGGCAAAATGTTCAGCGACAAGTAGCTATAATATTTAAGTGAAGATGAAAATTAACGAAAAAGAAGTGCCGAACGAATTTTTATTTTTCAACATTGTTACTGAATGCGCAACGTAAAGCTTTGCAACTTTAGTGAGAAGATGACATGCTACATACACTGGCTAGGGGTTGAGGGGGATATATCATTATCGCGTACATCACGAAAGAGAGTACTTTACTAATGATTAATTCAAAAAGTTTCTTTTTTTTTTCTAGTGGTGTAAAGGCACAGGATTTTCAAAGTAAAACTAGATCGGTGTCGTCGCACAGATGGCTGAATTACTGCCATTTGACCTTAAAACTATTCGCAAGTACATACAGTAGTATGTCCTTATAACTCCGCATACGAAGAAACGTAGAGATATAAAATTCGTCGAAGTTCACATTATGTGGCGCACGATGATGAAATAATTATCATAATTTTAATACATATCTTAATAAAGTGTAACGGGGAAACTCCGAGTGTCGTGCATTATGTGTGTGATTATACCTTAACAGTAAAATAATACAATTTACACAATACTCACGATACATACGGATGCGAGAGTGAGCAGAGATGATGTGATCTTGGAGAATCTAGTTTTTATTATCAAAATTACTGTGCCAAATACACGAAAGGGAGGAAAATATTTCTCGTGTTCCTTTTTCTTTCTCGTTTTCTTTATTCTTGTTGCAACGTGATGCGTGTCATTTATTCGTGAGAGACGGTTTGTGAAGAAGCGCGCTTTAAGTAATGAATGTTTAGCTGAATGTGAATGATTACACAGGCGAAACGTTAAGTGAAAAAGGAAAAAAAATTTTATCACATGTAAATGAAACGCGAAAACAGAATAATTTACAGGTCGACCCATATTGGGGATTAAATTAGTGTCGTATACATTGTTACTATGTATAATGGTAGTAAGTAGGTAACAATAATGAATTATTTATGGACAGGACAATGCCGAATTTAATCATAACATAAGCGCATTGCTTGAAATGTACCTATACGTGTATCTCCTTGTAAAATATCAGCATTATTACTCTTGATTAGGCATTACCAATTACAGTAAGCATATTTTTTACATTGTGTTACAGTATTCCTCCACCATATACGCACAGTTCATCTATCCCCATCACTTATTCCCGACAGTATCAGTTTATTATATTATCACTCGACGAAAAGCGTTATACAGATTTATACCTTTACTTGCACAGCATGTTACTTTTGGAAAGTATTCCAGTGGAAGACGTATTCGTAAGTATATCCTCACTTCTTTGAGTTGATATTCGCATGAATCTGTGAACGTATAGCTGTAAAAATTCTCATTTTCTTCCAAATGTTTAATCTATGGTTGTTGCCAGAGAATAGGTATCGTCTGGTTTGCGTATATGCCGTCTCATTTCTCGAAGAATCCATCTTCTTCGTGCAGTTTCACGGACCTTGTCGTATCTCTTGTTCGATCTCTCAACTTCTTTCATCGGGAACTCCTCCACCAGTTCGTATTCCTGAGCAAGTATCAAGAAACAGAGAGATTCGATCTTTCTGCGCTCAGTTAGGAATTCTCTTTTTTGTACATTATAAGGATGCTTGTAAGCACTTACTAAGATTGTATCCTCTTCGTACGTTTTCACCGTTCTTTTATCGAGCCGACCGACTTCCGTCGAGTCCGCCTGGTCCTCGCACGGCATCAGCATTATGTCGTAATCCGAGCGATTGTGACCCAGTATGCCCACTCTGACGCCTAGTCCAGGTAACATTTCCTCATCGATTAAGAGAGCGTTCCTCAGATAAATGATCTTCGGTTCCTGCACGACAAAGTCCACCACTCCTTCGAGTAGACAAACAATACGACACAATTATTCTTGCTGACTGGATGCACATACAAAATTCTGTTTCTACTCTAACGCGAAGACGTATCCAAGATTTTCACGACAGAAGGGATCTAACGACGAGCATACCTAACGATAAAAGACGATAGTCGCAATCCGAATGTATCGTCTCGTGCGACAATGGACAGTTCCTCAACAATTTCCTCTTGAGCATTACTTTAGGACCGTGCAACACTCGAATATCGTTCTCCAGCATGTCCCGGACGATCTCACCGCCGCTTTGTCTATACGCGGTGTTGTACGCATCAGTGCGAAGTAGCCTATGCAGTTCTACTTCTGCGAAAGAAAGAAGATACACTTCGCGAGTGTACTTCACCATTCTTCCAGATACACAGATATCATGCTATTCTTCTCGCGTGATTGCTTCGCAGGGAAGAGGAGAGAGTCTCACCGATTAAGGTGTAATGTTTGCGGCGCAACGCTATCCACACGATGCGATGAGCCACGCTAATCAGCGCCTCGAAGATTCTCAAGTCCTTCTCGCCCTGTGATTGCGTGATCGCTTGCTTCTTGCTAGTCATCATATGATGGTATTGCAGCCCATCCTGGCAGCCCAGTATCAGGTCCATGTATTCCCTACCCAGCGCACAACGAAGGGCTCGCATCTCTTCGGCGTAACGGGTCCTGTGTCCTCGCGCCAACGGATTCGGCGCTTTCTTCATGGTGGCTGCCCGCTCCTGCACGAGGTCCTCATATATGTCCACATAGTGTTGAAAGTAAACGATTAGCGCCCGCAAAAATCGGTCGACAATCGGCAAGTGCAGGAAGTTGATGAACTGGACGCTGACAGGCGACACAAGTAGAAACAGCACGAGGTCCTTTATGTCCTGCAGGATGATCACGTCCGCTTCGGTCGGCGACACTTTCCTCAGATAACACTTCCGAAATTTAATCTGCAAACATGAACGTGCAGTTGGTTTCGTTTTTTTTCTTTGATTTTTGCTCTTGATATTAATCGTTGAGAAAGAGCTCGAGTGGCTCGCGGCCTCTCATACGGGTCTCTTTACCTTCTCATTATCATTTAACGTTTCCTGATAACTTAGGATCAAATACGCGTGGGGACAGTAAACCGCCGGCGTTTCAGCAGCAGCAGTTTGCTTCTTTCGTCTTTTGGCTTGCTCATCTTCCGTTTTGGTCACGCTAATAAATACAGATTGAATTTTGCATGTACAGAATGATTCGCGAATTCTTATTTTATATCAATTAACGTTATCTTAGTACTTAGTAATCAAATTAACGAAACTCTGCTTGTGTTTGCATCAACAGTTCGATAATAAAATGTATATGCGCAAAAATATACATCGTTATGTCATCGGGTTGAGCTGGTTCTCTTTTTTTATCTCGAGTACTGCGTAAGACACACTAAATAGCATTATATTAAAAAGAAATCGCGGAAGTGAAAGTAAAAAACAACAGAAAAGTCTAGATGAGCAGACAGATTTTTCTTACGAATTTTGTGAAGTCCTATTATTACCTTAATAAAATTAATCCTTCTGTAATTTCATCCCATGTAAACAGCCTCTCAGTCATATCCGCGCGGGTATCATGTTATCGAGATAATTGCACAGCTCTCTTTCTCTTTCTATCTCTATCTTTGTCCCTGCCTCTTTACAATTTCATGATAGGATTTCCAGGTTATCAGTTTCTAGTAACTGACATGTTCTCCTGCTGACCCAGTGCATAGTGAAGATATAGTACAGTCAAATTATTGATTCTAGAAAGATATATATAGATACAAGTGCGAGCATATGTATATTTTCAGCGATATTTGCTTTAAAGTACAAGCACGATGCGATTGTTTATCTGCAGCACTATCTGATTTTGTTTTCGCTAAATTGTCGCCATGTCTTCACATTACACTCTTATGATATTATCTTTAAATCAATTGATCAACCAATAAATTACGTAGAGAGAAAGATGTTGCATACATGCATGAAAGTAACAGTCCCACTAATTAGTCATTATAATTATATGGAATGCAAGATACATGTCCTAAAAGTCAAAGTCCAAAAAAGAGCACGTTCATGTGTGTCCTTTTTTAAGCATTTATTTTCGTTATAATATACAATTATGTCTATGTTCACTTCTTCTTTTCTATTCGAAAGGGTGGTAAGGAGTCTAAGACTGCTTTATCCTCGGGGAATATCGGTTCGCCCGGTGTGCTCAAAACTTCCATGTCTTCTAACTGCGCCAACAGTGACCAATGATGCAGGCAACACCTCACCTTCACTTGCTCGCGATTATTAATCGTAAGGGTCACGTAAAACTCCTTTCCCTCTATGTCCGGATTCGGCCCAGATATTGTTCTCTCAGGTATTGTTATGGTATCCTCGGGCGCGTAGATACCGGCTTTACAAAAATTCGTCTTTATATGCCATTTTTCTAATGTCCATGGTTTCTCCTTCGACATCTCCACTATTAATCGCATCTCTGATAAGTACTTGATCGTGTTCTCGACAGTGGCAGAGCTAAATGGCGTCTGGTCTCCCATATCCTCTGCCAATTTTGTGTATTTTTTAATGTTCTCAGGAGTAGCATAGTCTGCTAATCGTGGTAGTAAAAGTTCATAATATGCCTTGCATGGACGCATTGATACCAGAGTCCCTGCATTGCCAAGTCCTTTTACATACTGTGTTAAAATCATCTTAATTGGCTCTTTCTTTTTTATATTTGTATCCTCAACAAGATCATAAATATAGTGCCTTGTCTTTAATATATGAGGCTTGCAATTTTTTCTGTTGAGATTCGCAGGGTATCTTCTTTTGAGGATGAAAGTATTCTGTAAGAATGTTCCAATAGTTATGAGTAGTACAAAAATAATATAAGTTATACTGCAATTACATAAAGAACTAAGTAAATGTATTCACACAGATAAAGGAAAGATCTGTTAACGTAATAAAGATATCACAAAATGTTTACATGTACGATAAATATTCATAGTCTTAATTGTATGTATAACAAAAAAATAAGAATTAGTAGAGATTAGAAAGACTTACTCGAGTTTGTTGTGACAAGGAATCCACATTGTTCAGCAGAGAAGGCGTTGCCAACGTCTTTACATGATTTATTGATAATCTCGGATATTTTAGCATATTTGTTTTTTTCTTCCTTGTCTCCTCAAAATATTCCAGACAATAGTAGAATTTGTCAAATGAGACGTAACAATCGAAGTGACTCGAAAGAGGTTAATTTACTATTGACAGAGAGGAGAAAGATTAATTATTGTTAATTATATCACTTGTAATCAATTGTATAATTGATTTCTACAATAAATTTTCGTATCTATCTACAGCTGATATTGAATAAAAGTTTACTTTACATTAAAATAATATACTCGATAAGTTACCACAACTTCCATGAAAACACGTCGTATACGTTGACATAACCTCTGAGGAGGCGACTGATACAAGTTACATGTATATGATAGTGCGTACTTACTTAACGTTATGTAGGCATCAAGTAAATTAGAAATTCGAGAAAACAAAACGAATGATAAAATAGATTATGTTTATCATTATTAATAAAATATGAACGACACTAAACCGCTGTTAGAAGAGGTTCTGAAAGATGCTTTTATGTATCTACAAGAACCTCTATTATTTCAAAACATGTTGCGAAATTCTGACGGTTCCTATGAGTGGAAATTGCTTGAATGGGATTTCTCGGAGTTTGCTGAAAAATTGGGAAATTTGAAGCTACCGTTTCGAGTTGGTTATAATAGCAGACTTATGGTGAAAGCAATTGCTATAATTTATACAAAGAATTGTTATTTTTGTGTATTTTTTTCCTTATACATGACAATTCCTTTATTGAATTTGTCATATCTCTTTCAGAATCCTCAGTGGGAAAGACATTGTCTTATAGAATATATGACATTGCAAGAGTTTGCTGAAAATATAAAAGAATTAAAGGATAAAAGATGGTATTACTTTGATTATAAGTATATGCACGAGTGGTTTGACGATAAGTCAGAAATTCTGACTTCGTTAAGCTGGTGCAAGTTTGGGATTGACAAAGATGGATCTGATTCTACTCTGTGGATTGGAAGCAAAGGTGCTCATACCAATTGTCATCAAGATTCCTATGGTTACAACTTAGTAGCTCAAATACATGGCAGGTTTGTTCTGATGTGACAATACAAACTGATGTCTCTCTTTAATTATCTCTTTAATTATTAAAATTTTATTATTTTCTTAAATTTTAAAATTTTGTTAAATTTGTTAAAGTTTTGTTAAAATTTTCATTGTTTTCATAGGAAAGAATGGTTGCTTTTCCCACCAAGGTCGAGCAATTTTTTAGAACCAACAAGAATTCCTTATGAAGAATCAACTATATATAGTAAATTTAATTTCTTTTGCCTGAGTAAAGAGAATGAGAAGAAAATACTGGATATGCCATATAAACCGAAAGTGATAATTCTTGAACCAGGAGATGTTTTATTTGTGCCTTGGGGCTGGTGGCATTATGTTGAATCTTTGAATCATAGCATGAGTATTAACATATGGATACCATTAAAAGAAGACAGTAAAGCACGTCTCAAGGAAGCTCTTGTTAAATTGACAGTGGCTAGGATTGGAGGCCAGAAATATCTCACATCTGAAGATAAAGATGATGTATCTTATTACACAGAGCTGGTATTTTATTGTTTAAGAAATATGAATATTGTTTATTGAATTCAGAAAGAACTTATTCAATTAATCTAAGTTACTATGATTGATAGGTTGATGCTGTTCTTCGAGAATGTCAAAGCAATATTGAAAGTGCAACAGAATTTTCTCCTGCAAAAAGAGTAAAATATACCATGGAAGATTTAGTTACGCAATATCCTAAATATATTAAGCCATTACATGATTTAAAAGATCATGGATTACAAAAGTTCCTTCAAGAAAAACGAGAAAGATTTCCAGAAAATGATTTTAATCAAGAGCTTGAAAGATTGATAAATATTAAAGCAATACCTCCACTTAGAACATCTTTGGAATCTATTATCGATGCATTATGTCATCCAGATGTAGTTAATAAAGCAGCAGAATTACTATTAAATAACACGCAAAAATAATAAGAAATTTTATTGCATACTTGAAAGTGATAATTAACATCGCCAGTTTAATTACATATATTTATATAGTATTATGTATTCTTTCTTTTTTATTATTCTTTTATATAATTTACTTTTTATATGCTTACATATGAAACAGATTTATTTTTTCTTTAGATTATACAATTTGAAAGTAAAGGTTGTTTGACTAATGGTTCTGTCATACTACTTAAGAGTAAAGCACGGCTGACTTGACGTTGACTTATACTACGACCTCGATTTCTCGTTAGGAACAATGGTGATTCATAGCGGAGGTTTCGAAATTAATAAACTCGCAACAAGCGTAAAAAAGAAGCAAGGAAGTAAACAGGAGAAACAGATGAAAACTACAAAGGGAAATGATGCTGTCATAAATAAAAGGTATAGGAATGAGGAAGATAGTTCAGATGAGAATGAAGCTGGGACTGCAGAAATTACTAAAGAATATGAAAATGAAGAGGGAATACTCGGAATTTTAAAGACATGTCCACTGTTGAAGATGAATCAATGGCAACATATAAGAGCCAAGAAAATCTATCAAAAGTACCTGTTAAAGCAGAGCTCGGAATTAGTTGCCCATTTCGACCGATTCTCAAGAGCTACGTCTTCTATCTTCCCCTTGCCACGAGCGGGTCACAAAAGTGACGGTCGAGCGTCCAAGCTTGAAGCTGCAACTGGCCGCGACCGTCATTTTCGTGACATGTGTTATTTCATGACACATTTGTAACTAGCAAGTTTAATTCTACAATTAGACAATATGTTGTATCACACATATACATAGTTATGGTACAATACAAATTTCCTATATTTATATTTTACAAATAAATAAAATAATTTATCAAAATATGAATTGAAACTTCTATTACATATTCTCTTTCTATTAAATATTAATATAATATAATATTAATATAATTTTAAACATACAACATTAATATAATAAAAATATTGGTATAAATATTAATTATTATTATTTATATTAGTATAAATATTAATTATAAAGAGAACACCGAGATAATTAGTACAAAGAATGCTTGTCAGGAAATTTTTCATTTCTTTTTTTTACTAGTTTTTTTTTTACTAGTCCAATTTATATTGTAGGTATCACATCTAAATTGTCATAGCGATGTTTAGGCGACAGTTTCCCGGAAAGTGGAGAGGATAATGTTGGTACCAAGGAAAATCTCTACACGATATAATTTAAAGATCTGTTCTTTGTAACTACACTGCTTAACTGTGAGTGAAGTGAGGCAAGTATACGTTTTTTCACTCTAACCTTTTGCATTAGTTCAGCAGTGTGCAGTTACAAAGAACAGATCTTTAAATTATATCGTGTAGAGATTTTCCTTGGTACCAACATTATCCCCTCCATTTTTCGGGAAACTGTCACCTAAGGGTACGTTCAGATTCCCTACCCGGGTGGACTCTAATACTAGAAGTGCTATAGTATATGTAACATATACTATAGTGTTTCTAGTAATAGAGTGCATCCGGGTAGGGAATCTGAACGCACCGTAAGGTAAGCGGACAAAATTCATAAAAAAAGAGGGGACAGCGTTGGCAACGTTCAAAAATTCCTAGGATCCATAAATTAATTTCTCAAGGTTAATATCATTGTCGGACGGGAGAGTGTATAGAGTTGTGACAGGTTATATGTCACTATGTCAAAAACTAAATATTACGGGAGTGAGTGACAAGTTATGGAGACAGAGATTAACACCAAATTTTGTGAATCGGCAGTTCCTCGTGCTATTTTGTGGAAGAAGAAGAAGAAAGTTAGTAGCAAATGTCAAAAGCCGTAAATTTCAGACGTTATTTTTTTATATAATACGACCTATGGTAAAAGCAGTCGCACTGTTTATTTTTACGCTCATGAACTCGATGCAAATTATCTGAAATTTACGGCTTTTGACATTTGGTACTAATTGGTATTTTCTTCTTCTTCTTCTACTTCCACGAGGACTGCCGATTCAAAAAATTTGGTGTTAACCCCTGTCTCCATAACTTGTCACTCACTCCCGTGATGTTTAAACATCGTGACATAACCTGTCACAACTCTACACCTCTGTACACTCTCCCGTCCGACAATGATATTAACCTTGAGAAATGAATTTATGGATCTTAGAAACTTTTGAACATTGCCAACGCTGTCCCCTCTTTTTTGGATTTTATCCGCTTATCTCGCCTAACATAGCGATTAGTTTTTTCAAGTATATTTGCCAAGGATTAAGCGATTCGACGATTTTCGACGTCTTGGGCATTCTTCGCATGTTGCTCCAATTGTATTCTTACTTTGATTAAATCCCCTAGTTTTTCAGGCAGCACAGTCTCCTGCAACAAAACATTCGATGGATATATATGTACACACACACACACACACACACATGAACGCACGCATGCACGCACGCACGCACGCACGCACGCACGCACGCACGCACGCACGCACGCACGCATGCACGCACATATCCATTTTTTAAGGCTGAATAATAATCTTTTGTACTTCATGTTATATGGACGATACCTGGTATTTTTTCATGAGATTAGAAATTTCTCCATGTGATCGCAAATTTCCATCCAAAGATTTTGCAACTTGGTTTCTTCTATGCGAGGGGCAACGCGACAGAGTAAGACACACCTAAAAGATACAGTTTGTATTTGGTTACACAAACGACAAGATAAAAAAATGTATAGTGTCAGCGAGTATACTCACTTCTTGAATCAGAGTGTCTTGATGCGAATATTCTACATAGCTCGGAACGTGCTGAGCATTTTCAAAGGCAGAAATATCACTTCTCCACAATGTCATGGTATATTCGCCGTAATGATTACATGAGGACAATGCCTATGCGGTGTTAGTGTAGACTTTAAAATTTGAAATAGGAAATTTGAAATTTGAAATAAAATTTGAAATAGGAATTAGTTAGGCCTGTGACATGAAATTAGTGAGCACTGGAAATACTTAAACCTACAAAACCTTTGTATTTTAACAAAATGAATTCCTTCGCTGATACATTTTGAAGTATGTACGTACCTTCTAAGAAGATAGCAATATCGAGTCTAGATTGTGACCCAAAACTAATTCTAAAGCTCGGCAAGCATTCCATCGTACCTAACATAAATAAATGTAAGATTCATATAACAAGGAATACTTATTTATTGCAACCAGACTTTCTCTGGCGCATAAATGGAGAATCAGTCCTAAACAACTTTAGTTACAAGTAACTTGTATCTCATAAAAAATTAGAATAATTATATCGAGACTTACCTTCATGTTGTTTCCTAAGACTGCGCAATTAATGAGCGCATCTAATCCTAATGCCGTGTCGGAAAGTATATATTCATTTGAACATAGATATAAAATTGTTTCAATCGTTTTAACATTGCATTTCGCTTTGTCGTCCTTTGCAGCTTTGACACACTTGATATAATTTAGGTAACGGAATCTCCAAAGGCAACGGTTCTCTCTTTTCGTACTGCCTGAAAAACATATATCCATGTAGATAGAATATGTGCCGCGAAGAGAGCACATATTCATATCAAATAAAAAAAGTGTGAACAAACTTTTGCCTGGAAAGGCAGTCCACAGGTTGGCCAATGCCCAAGCGCTTTTTACACGAATACCAAGATTATTGTCGTCGGAACGTCTTATAAGTTAACGGAACAAAGTCAGCAGAATCAATTCTAACTAATGTTTTTATTTGTTGCTCATTTGTTAAAAAGTTGCAAAAAAAAATTTTTGTTATTCTGTTAGTTTTTTTTAAACGATGTTACGCTAAAGGAAGATTAGTTAGCGAAACAGTATGTAAATAATAACAAAACAATGAAAAATCGAATATTAAAAAAAAAAAGGAATTTGTTGCTAATTAGTTGCTCACAAAATACGCTAGTCCCAAATATTTTGCTTCGCTATTTTTTTTTAATAATGTTCCGCTAAAAGAAGATGAAGAGTAAACTGCGAGAAAAAAATTTGTTGCTCAGTTGAATTTGGTACTGGTGAATTGTCTCAATTTGTTGCTCTGGAAATATCCAAGTTACGAATTTGTTGCTCGCCTAATATGTTTAAATAACAGCGGAGAAGTTACCAACGTGCAAGGAGTCATAAGAGTTAACTATCAGAAAAAAAATTGTTGCTCGCTTACCAGCTTGCACGCTGGTAACTTCTCCGCTATTATTTAAACATATTAGGCGAGCAACAAATTGGTAACTTAGATATTTCTAGAGCAACAAATTCAGGCAACACACCAATATCAAATTTAAGCGAGCAACAATTTTTTCTCTAACAGTTTACTCTTGTGACTCCTTGCCCGCTGGTAACTTATCCGCTATTATTTAAACATATCAGGCGAGCAACAAATTTCTAACTTGGATATTTTTAGAGCAATAAATTCAGGCAACACATCAGCATCAAATTTAAGTGAGCAAGAATTTTTTTTCTAATAGTTTACTTTTGTGACTCCTTGCACGTTAGTCACTTCTCCGTTATTATTTAAACATATTAGACGAGCAACAAATTCGTAACTAGAATATTTTCAGAACAACAAATTCAGACAATTCACCAGTACCAAATTCAACCGAGCAACAAATTTTTTTCTTGTAATTTACTCTTCATCTTCTTTTAGCGGAACATAAAAAAAAATAGCGGAGCAAAATATTTGGGACCAGCGTATTTTGTGAGCAATTAATTAGCAAAAAATTCCTATACTATTGTAATATTTGATTTTTTATTGTTTTGTTGTTATTTACATACTGTTCCGCAAACTAATCTTTTAGCATAACATCGTTTTTACAAAAAATTAACAGAACAATTTTTTTTCTTTGGCAACATTTTAGCTACAAATGAGCAACAAAGAAAAACATTAGAATTGATTTTGCTAACTTTCTTCCGCTAACTTATAAAACGTATCGTCAGAGGCCATGCAAACCATGTCAGATCTAAGATATAAGATCTGATTATAAATATCAGCCTTAGTAAGAATATTAAAATCAAAAATATCTTACAATTAGTCGTGTACATTTCCAATATTGATCATAAATAAAACATAAATAAAATACTCACCTTTTGCACGAATTTTGGGAAACATACGCGGTGATTGCGAATTACAATTCTAGACAATTTATTAAACAAGTCGGTTCCTTCTTCATCAGCCTTAAAGTAGTTTCCACTAATATTTGCTGACAGACCATTGTTTAATGTGTCCAGGTGATCATCCGCATTAAATTTATCCCTTACTTTTGTTTTTGTCGAGTCGTACAAGCGAACTTCAATGTCAGAAACCACTTGCATTGCACGATTATAAAACTGGATGGCCTCACAAAACTTCTTGATTTCTCATGCTCGATGCCTTTGAGAAATAGATTTATGCCTAAAATATAAAAAGTTTATAGACAAAATACTACATGTACATAGATATTAAACTAGATTAGATAGATATAAGACGAATAGACATGAAGTAAATAGAATCTATTTTCTATTGCCGAACTGACTAACTTGCACTAGTTCTCTTTCCCTCTTTTCTCTAACAAGACTTAACTGTGCACTTGTTTCTTTTTAAAGCTCATGTGGCCCCTCGCATTGTCTATCTATTAATGACATCAGAAGCAAGAAAATACACGCAAAAATTCATGCAAAATTAATCAAAACAAAAGTATATATTCATGAAGAAACATTTGCAATCAAATAACCTTTAAAACGTAACGTTCGAAAAAATTACACGAATAGTAATTACCGGTCTTACAGACTGCTATTACACTTCCATTAATTTTTGAATTTCCTTATAATGAAAGATGTATGTTTTTAATTATTCGGCATACTTGTAAAGGAGAAGAAATATTTTAATGTGACAGTATAAAAAAAATCTCATATATAAATGACAAAATATATTTAAATTGAAAGATTGTCAAGTAACAGAAAGGTGCGATCCCAGGTGTGCGATAGAAAAATTTGAAATATATGATAACATTCTCCTGTGCAAGCAAGTCGTCGCGGTGCAAACAGTATTCCCGTCCGATCACGCGTTCTCGAGCAATCAGCCTCGAAAGATTGTCAGGTGTCAAAAAAGTGCGATTCCAGGTTTGCGATAAAAAAATTTGAAACATATGATGACATTCTCTGGTCTAAATAAGACATCGCGGTGCAAACCGTTTTCTCGTCCGATCACGCGTTCTCGAGCAATAAGCCCCGAAAGATTGTCAGGTGTCAAAAAAGTGCGATTCCA